TCCAAGATTGGTCCATTAGGTTTGTCCCCAAAGAAGGTTGGTGAAGATATTGCCAAGGCTACTAAGGACTTCAAAGGTATTAAGGTTACTGTCCAATTGAAAATCCAAAACAGACAAGCTACTGCTTCTGTTGTTCCATCTGCTTCTTCTTTGGTTATCACCGCTTTGAAGGAACCACCAAGAGACAGAAAGAAGGACAAGAACGTCAAGCACTCTGGTAACTTACAATTAGATGACATTATCGAAGTCGCTAGACAAATGAGAGAAAAATCTTTCGGTAAGAACTTAGCTTCTGTCACTAAGGAAATCTTGGGTACCGCTCAATCTGTTGGTTGTCGTGTTGATTTCAAAAACCCACACGATATCATTGAAGCCATCAACGCTGGTGAAATTGAAATTCCAGAAAACTAAAGATTATAGCATCCATATATTTTCATATAATTTAATAAAACTCTAATTTTTCCAACGTAATCGATTACGAGATCCTCTATTTTTTAACAGTACTAAGTTCTTAAATCAGCAAGGTTGCTTTTCATTTGACTTTACTTAACTCATATGATTCCTCCCCTTTTTGATATAATACTTCATTCAATGTTAGCTAGTAGTAATTACGAATTTTACTTATATATATATGGTATATAATTACAAATCATCAATAGTAGATATTTGACAATAAGTTAATATACCCTTTTTTCTGACGCCATGTCATCGTGCATTTTACTTAGAGAAGAATGACACTTTATAAAATGTATATAAGAAACGTCAATGCGGTAAAGAAAGAATAGCCTATTGTTCGTACAATTATTTGTGTATACTTATTAAATTAAAAGTTAGTGCTTTTCTAGATTGTTTCCTAAATTGGGATCACAAATTAAAACTTTTTTATACATTTATATTTTGTTTGTTTAATATTATTTTCAGCTTACAAAAAAGTTTCAGGAAATACGAATATTTTCAAGAAAAACGTTATATTAATCTAAATACAACCTTTACTACAACACAATAAACTAAAGTTAATTACTATTTAATATAAAATGTTTATTTCCAAATGAATTGAAATTTGTAGAGTCAATTAATACATATTACTTCTTTTTTTTGCTATAATTACATTTAAATTCATCACGTATCTGAAATCTTTGACACTTTACGCGATGAGCTTTACAAACCTTAAAAGCATATTAAATCGAGACATCAATGGAGACATACATTAAGGTAATTTGAATAATAGCTGAACTAATAAAGTGACTAGAATGTCTAAATTCAAATGGAGAGATTTAATACAGTTGAATTCGAAGGATGAAGCTTATAAATCAGAACTTTGCTGCCTTTGTCATATAGATCTTAATGCTTTTTTTGCACAGGTAGAGCAAGTTCGATGTGGGTACACCAAGGACGATCCAGTTGTTTGCGTACAGTGGAGTTCAATTATAGCAATATCTTATGCTGCAAGAAAGCATGACATTACTAGAATGGATAGTATTAAAGATGCTTTAAAGAAATCGAATAATAAACTGATACCCATACACACTGCAGTTTACAAAAAAGGTGAAGATTTTTGGCAATATCACGATGGATGTGGGTCTTGGATGCAAGAGGCATCCAAACAACTTTCTCCAGAGCAATACAAAGTATCATTGAATCCATATCGTAGGGAGGGAAGAAAGATTTTTAAAATATTTAAGGATTTTTGTGATTTGGTGGAAATTGCAAGTGTTGATGAAGGATTTCTGGATATCAGTCGACTTTGCCTTCAACAGTTGTTATTTGAAGAAGATATTTTGGAAAAGTGTAAAGAAGATAGTGAGGGAAAATCTCTTCAAGAGAGATTTATTGCAGGTGACTATGATTTGGACTCATATTTACCTCCTGTTCCTGATACCCTTAAAACGTTAAAATTTGAAGGCTTTGTTTATGATGCAGAGTTTGGGTCATTGATTGATGATTGGGACGATGTAATATTTGCATTGGGATCACAGATTAGTCAAAAAATTAGAAACCATGTTCGTGATACACTGGGATATACCACTTCTTGTGGAATTGCTCGTACTAAAACAGTTTGTAAATTAGGCTCAAACTTCAAGAAACCGGATGCTCAGACGATTATTAGAAACAAGAGCATAACAAAATTTTTTGATAATGGAAATATCGAGCTGACCAATTTTTGGACTATGGGAGGAAAACTAGGACAAAATTTAATTCATATTTTAAACTTACCAACACAAGGTTCTATCAAGGCACTCCGGGAGAGATGGGATGATCCTGTCGAGATTAATAAATACATGAATGAAAGATTACTTGAACTGAATGGGAACGGAGAAGACTTTGAAATGGATGATGACAAAAAAGAAGCGGTGACGCAGAAATTATTTGACCTTGTTCGTGGCCAACATTGTTTGCCCGTGAATCCAAGACCAATAATTAAATCAATGATGTCAAATAAAAATTTAAGAGGTAATTCTTGTAAAAACATCATTGATTGTATGCAATGGTTAGATATTTTCGGTAACGAATTGGCTGACCGTGTTAATGAATTGGAACAAGAATATCATAAAATATGTATACCAAAAACAATATCAATTAGTGTAAAGACTAATGAGTGGAAAACATATTCCAAATCATCACCATTGCATTGTAGGGGCTCCAATATAAGTAGTCTTGATATTATCCGTACCGCTAGCAAACTGATAAACGAATTCAATTTAAAATATTCGAATGTCCCAGAACCCAATTTTTATCCCTTGAAACAGTTCAATGTAGTAATATCAAATTTTGAGATATTGGACATGAAGAAATCTGTAATTGAAATGATTGGGAATGTGAAGGGTGATTATTCTAAAAAGGATCTCCCAGAGTCAATTCCACATGCTGAACCCCGTGATACAGAAGTATTTATTGGTAACTGGAAGTGCCAGGATTGTAATATAGAATTTGAATCGGAAAGTGCTTTTAACGAACACAATGATTACCATGTTGCGTTGCGGCTATCTGAGAGTCTAAATGGTGCCGACGTTAATTCGAAGAATATTTCTGAGGGTGAAAGAAGATTATTATTATCAAATAAGAATAGACAAGTCGGGTACATAACGAAACGGAAACATAATAAGGACACTAATTCTACACAGAAGACAAACATTTTTAAATTTTTCAAAAAATAATTAACATATTATTAAGAAATAGCATATAGAATAGTTGACGTCAGATTATATTATCTTTGTAGGATTCACTCGTTATCAATTTACCGTTAATACATTATCTTGTCATGAGGATCCATTAGTATTTCTTGTATTAATTATATCGTAATAATATATGAGAGTTTTTCCTGTTGTCCTTCCTTGAGAGTTACTGATCTTGGATGAATTACAAATGGGAAAATTTGGTATCTATTTATATGTCAAATATTTCGACAAAGCATTTCATGTCCTTTGGACTATTGCTAATTGATGAGCCGATACAACTACTAAAACTAAATATGGTATGTAGCAATTTAGATACTACACGTATCTTTATGAGTCTGAGTCTTCGATTTTGACTATTAATAACAAGAACTAGATCTGGCGTTAATTTCTGCTAGACAGTCTCATAAATTTCGCGCAAAAGCCTTCCGAAACCATTAACTTCGTCCCAGTGGCCGAGTGGTTAAGGCGATGCCCTGCTATTTCCTTAGAAACAGCTGTAAGGCATTGGGTTTTACCTTCGCAGGTTCGAATCCTGTCTGTGACGCCAATTTTTTTGTATTGCATAATTTCTCTTTCTCCCACACCTGAAATTCAAGAAATCTGCCGTCCCCAACCACTTGCACATTCTTCCCTACTTACAAACACTGGCTCAAGGGAGTATTAATAAATGAAAAAGACAGTCACACTATTCTGTCTCCAATTTGTCTATCCAGTGAGCCAAAATAAGAAATCATAACCCTGTTGTAAAATTGGATTTAATAATCCGACTTCTCCTATCAGTTATTCCTCCAATGCTTATTATTTTTTTTTGTTTTACATAGAATCTCAAGACAATAACATAAACACTCGCTATCTACCATGCAAGAGATAAACAAATCAATAACAAGCATCGTGTTATCTGAACTGTATGCTAAACACACATCCAAGACTCTGTTTACATTTTTTAGTATCTTATCAATGAGAATAAACCCTCTTCCTCTATCTAATCTCTGGAAAAACCAACTTTGATACAGTCGTTACCTAGACAATCTCTTAACTTCACTAAACATAAACTATATACAACTACACAATTAGCCAATCTGTTGCAAAATGAACAACTCTCCACCTCAGTTGATCAGAACTAAAATCATACTTTATGTACTTGTTGCTTGTATTATATATCAACTAAATGCCATCTTTCCTTATTATTTCACACACAAAACTCATTTCATCTATCACTATTAACTAATAATAAATATCGATTCGAATTAGACGTTCGAAAACAGCACTGAAACATTACAAAGTTTCGAACAAGGGACATCTGTAAAATGTATTAGGTATCTCTTTTCTTATCTTTTTGCAGGGTTTAAGGCTCGATTCGAATTGAATAGATTCGAATGGAGTTACATTGAACCGTTGAGTTAACTTGATCTTTAATCAGTTGTTGTTGGTAATTCTATTGACAACTGATTCCTTTTGATATTTTTTTTATATTTGTATATTAATATATAAGCATAATATCTATTCTAGTTGATTGAAGTATTCTATCACACCCTTGGGTATACTAAGTAATTTATTCTATTGAATTTTTTTTACTTTTAAAGTTAGTTATAAAAATCTGGTGATTTATTTATTGTTTGTTGATTATTGGGGTGTTTTTATTCATATCATTTATATTACAGTCCCTTTATTTCATTTGTTTGAGACGTTATAGTACATTCTATTTATTTAATTTTATTTAATTAATTATCAATCAAGTTTAAAATAATTACAAATATGGAGAATAAAAATAATACAAACACAACTCCTTCATTGGTAGGTGTTTCAGTTCGTAGCATTAACGATAGAAATAATCCTGATTTCCAGGATGAACAAGAACCTCATGTTCCTGCTTTAACTTCTTCAACTTCTCAAGCTTTGCTACATAAGATCCAGCATCACGTTAACCACTCTTTCGAAGGAGACCCTACTTATACAAGTGTTGCAGAATTGAACCGTGAAGGCGCTTTATTAACTGATGAAGTCGATATGGATACCGTGGTTAATGTAACCTCTGAGCTAACAATCGATGGTGAAGAAGATGATAATGCAAGACAGAAGAGACTTTTAATGTTGAAGAAAAAAAAGAAGAATTTGTTATCAACTAATAATGGTTCTACAGGTGGTAGCTCTTTAGTTTCTTCTCCATCCCCAGTAGGTTCAAATTCTTTGGTAACATCCACTGATCCAATCGATGATCAAATTAGTTTGATGTCTTCTTCAAATGAAGAAAGCTCAAAACAATCCCCAGATGACGAAGACCAAGATGCTTCAATTAGAAATTCCTATGGTGAAATCATTAAAAATGATTGTAATAGACCCCATTTGGCAAGGGGAGACTCTTATCAAAGTATCTCAAAGGCAACTGACGAAAATGAACCTGTTCCAACTGAACGTCATGGAAGATCATTCCAAAGAACTGCATCTACCGAATATTTAAGATCCCTATCAAGATCTTTGAGTCGTGATCCAACAAAGAAACCTTCCAATGATCAAAATGCAGAATCTGCTTCTGATGTAAGAATGTATAGTACTAATAACTATTCTATTTCTCAAGCCGACTTACAAAATGCTCCTCATATTATCCAGCAACCTTTGCTTGAAGAAGAAGAGGAAGACGACGATTCATCAGCTTCAATGAAACCAAGGAGTTTTAAAAGTAATGCGAGGCATCACCGAACTAGATAAGGAAAGGTTAGAAGGATCACCTAAAATCGAAGAATCCAATCAATCAGATCAACAACAAAAACAACAAGGTACCAAACCTAAAAAAAAGAAGAAAAAAAAGAAGAAGAATAATAAGAAAAAAGCTTCAGTTCAAGATAAATTAGATGAATTGTTAACAGAAAGTCACCAAAGCATCGATTTGGATGAGAAACCTAAAAATAGCGATTTAGATACAATTATGAATGGTATAGAAGAATTTTTAAAAGAAGATGACAACAAAAAGACTATTGTTACCAGTGATGAAGATAAACTTGATGTCAAAGTTAACATTATCGATGACTCTGTGGATAAGACTGCTTCTGAGAACAATGATGAACCCTCTATAATTAATGACATTAATGATCAAGAAGTAGAAGAACAAGGGACACCAGGGAATATCATTGATGAACCAAAAGATTTAGCTAGAACTTCTAAAAGTCAAGATACTTCTGAAATTGAGAACTCAATTGATAAGGATGTCAATGAAGAATTAGGCAACAATAAGGAAAGTTCTACATCTTCTGTCAGCGAGAAAAGGTCTGACTCTAATATAAATGATATTGAGTCTGAAATAAACGAGCTGGCTTCAACAGTTCTGGAATCAACTTTAAAGGCTGAGATTGAGATAGAGAAAGAAGATGATATTTTATTGGCGGCTGTTAAAAGTGTAAAACAAGATACACTTTTGTGTATAGATTCGGAGTATAAAGAAGCCACAAAGAAGACTAAAGAGAAGCAACATATTGAGATACAACAACATCGAGATGTGATAAAGAAGGTAGAATCTGATGTCGAAATTTCACATCTTGCCCAGTCAGCAGAAGAGGAGTCACAGAAAGCTTCATTAGAAGAAAGTAAACCTGAAGATATCGATCCAGATGTAAGTTTTGAAAAAAAACTTGAATCTATATCTGGTGAAGATACACATCTGAAAGCCGATGGTACATTAGCTGAAGATGAAAAGATGATCGATAAATCTATTATGGAACCTGAAATTACTATGGATAATGATGTTGTTACTGATGATGGTACTGAGAGGAAAGATATTAAGGAAGATAGCTTTAACATTTGTGTTGAGAAAAATAATGTAACTAATAAGAAAGCTGAAGTCAAAACTTTAAATACAGATATGACCGAAATCAAGACAGAAGTTGAGACAGAAATCAAGACAGAAGCCGAGACAGAAGTAAAGGCTGAAGTTGAGACAAAAGTCAAGACAGAAGTCAAGGCTGAAGTCAAGGCCAAAATCAAGGAAGAAGTCAAGGAAGAAGTTGATTCGGAAGTTAAGGAAGAAGCTGAGTCTGAAATTAAATCAGTGGAAAATTTTAAACCAAAGGATTCTGCTGACAGCAAAGAGGAGAAAGAAGTAACAGAAAAGAATCAACCAATAAAGGCTAATATTGAAAATGAAACAAAGGAACTTGATGTAAATCAGCTAGAGGATAAAGAAAGTGACGTTTCTGAGAATAAAAAAGCTATAAAAGTACATGATAGTAGTCTGAAAGTCCAATCTGATGTAAATGAGAAAGATGTTTCCTTGAAGAGTATCGATGCTGCGAATCCATCCAAACCAGTTGGTAATAAGATATCTGCTGCTATCTGTGATGATAATTCTGATCAAAAAATTGAATCGAGAGAAGTACATGAATCTCAAGTAGAACCCGATGCAAATGAAGAGTTAACCGAATTGTCTAAAGAATCAGAAAGTAAGTCAGGAAGGGACCATGTCGAGAAGGAAGAAACTGAGAAACTCACAGAATCCAAATTAGAAAGGAATGTATCTGATATATCTGAAACTCAGGCAAAGGAATCTGAAGAACAAGAAGAACAGTTCGATGCAGATGTACAGTCGGTCAAGGGACCAGGGGAAAAAGAACTAGAAAAAGAATTAGAGGAAAAAGAATTAGAGGAAAAAGAATTAGAGGGAAAAGATGGAACTGTCGTTCCTGAAACCTCTAAATCTACAGAAGAAGAATCTGTTGAGGTGAAAGAACTAACTAAATCTGACAAAGAATCTGTTGAGGTAAAAGAACCATCCAAATCTGACGAAGAATCTGTTGAGGTGAAAGAACCATCTAAATCTGACGAAGAACCTGTTGAGGTAAAAGAACCATCTAAATCTGATGAAGAACCTGTTGAGGTAAAAGAATCATCTATACCTGAAGATGAAAAGCCTCAGGATAGTGAACTATCAAATGTAGTAGATGAAAAGTTTGAGATGGTCTCAGATAAATCTGACATATTAGAAGATGATTCTTCAGTCGAAATGGAAACAGCCAAGACACAGCAAGAATATATTGCATATATAGAGGACGAACCTAAGGAAGATGATTTGGATGCAGAGCCATCCATAGAGTCCTCAGTTAAAGAGACCCCAATAGAATCAGAACTAGAATCTGCGCTACTGGCAGAAGATGAATCTTCATTTTCTGATGACCATTTTACGGAACCATTATCATTCGGAGGTGATTCGAGTGAGAAAACCGGAGAAACAGATGAACCTGATAATAAATCAACAGAAGATATAAGCAAGAAAACCAAGAGTCTAGAAGATTTAATCGACGACACTGATGAACTATTAAAAAGTTTAGAATTTGTGAACGATGCTGAATTAGAAGACATGCTATTAGCCTTAGATGGCAAACCAACTAAAAAAGTGAATGAAACCAAAACAACGAAACCATTAGCTACTAAATCGGAAGGTAAGAAGGAGACCATGGAAACGAAAAAACCAGAGTCTACTGTGATCAAGAAGAGTGAGATCAGAGAACAAAATCTAAAAGAACCTATTTACATCTACACATCACTTGCTGGTGGTGGTTTCCACATGATTCCACGAACCAATAGATTGACTACTATTTTGACGGCGAATAAAATTGAATTCACATATCGAGATCTTGGTACTGACGACGAAGCCCGGAAAGTATGGAAATTATATGGTAGAGGAAGGACGTTACCAGGAATAGTAAGAGGAAGAGACGACATAATAGGTAATTGGGAAGAAATTGAAGAAGCTAATGAAGATTACAGGTTACACGAGTTAATATACGATACGATATGATATGATGTGATATGATATGATATGATATGAACATTCATCAGAGTGATTTTAATTAGTACTTCCGAACAACGAACGACATAACATACGGTATAGAAGATAATATATACATACATTTATTTTATTTTATTTTGTTTTATTTTAAAATAAAAATCGCAACAGAAAAGTGGTGAGTACCAAGGGTGTCGTGGGGATTCCCCTTGGGCACACACCATCTCTCTAGATCTACGTTAAAACACACATAAGATATGTTGTTGCTGTCCCAAAACGTACCACAAGGATGATTGATATTCGAATAGCAACTGGAAAAATGCTGCAAAGAAATCTGAATTGAGTCTCCCCACCCAAAGAAACGTCGTTTCGTACCTCACACCACCAATCTATATATATCTTAAACAGCAATATGTAAATTAATTAATTACATTTATTCATAAATACATGTATCAAAAGCTATATGCAGGAATATCTTTCATCAAATCTCAGTGCATATCAACTACAACAGCTGAAAGCATTCATTACCACACCTGCTCAAGAGACCAAATCTGAAATCTCTCTTTTATCCCTTAACTCAACAAATAGCAAAACATGCTTACAAGAAGAAAAGGGTGGACATCCAAATCTAGTCGATCTTGGCTTCATCTCTTATATCTGTTTGTTTGTTTGTTAGTTTGCAAACGTGCAAACATAGTTTACTGGTTCTGGTCTGGCATCTTGCTGCTGACCCATTTTGACCAACTAGTTCAATTTCCTCTCTTGGCCCAAGCTGGCTTCCCAATTCAAATTCAAAACACATAAACTAATACAAATCTCAATTCTACATAATAACATCATCACCAGTTCAATGAGTGCCTTAGCCTCCCCCCCAAAAGAAAAAGCCAAACCCAACCAAACAGAATCGCCATTAAAATTGTACTAATCACGTACCACCAATACCTGTCCACCACCCCCTCCCCTCCCTTCCCCTCCCTTCCCCTCCCTTCCCCTCCACCACTCCACGGCCCACCGTTCGTTGCTCAGCTAGAAGGAAACTGACCTGTGTCTGTCCACAACTGTCCGTTCTCTCTCTCCCTGTCGCTTCCCCCTCCACCCCCTGCTCCCACCAGACTCAGCTTGGCCGATACGAGCTCAGGCTGGGGGTCCCCCCTGCTGGATCGTTCTATGTCCAGCCTACATCTGCGTCTGCCTCCGCTCCCAGAAACAGGACCATCAGGGGGTTGAACAAGAGAGGTCTGAGCAAGAACCGGTACCAGTGAGCTTTTGGTGCTGATTATATGAGACAAGTTTTCTGTGTGTTCAACTTTAAATTGACCAGAAAGGTTTGTAACAGGATAATAATAAAAAAAGCAACCCAGCTGGGTTGCTTTTCTTGTTGAACACTGCAGCTAAACACATTGCTTTATTTGAGATTTTATTCTGTATCCAACGACACCGTCCCCCCTACCCATCTTTCTCCAAGATATAATCATCAATACTATTCTGGTATTATAATTACGTAGATTTTCAGTCGGTTATTCTGCTCATTCTTTGTTCTTTGTTCTTGTTGGTGTCTTGCCTTGTACTGTCTTGTCTTGTGTGCTTGCAATTGACGTTATTATCTGAAAGAAGTCAGTCAAGAAACGATACGATACAATACGAGACGAGACGATGACAACAAGTACTATCACCAACAGCAAATAAGAGAGAGAGAGACAGAGAGAAAGAGAAAGAGTGATTTTTTATGGACCTGTACTGTAATAGATTGCTTTGCTGTAAAAAATGTTAATTTACCTATAAGCTTTCTTCTGATCCAAGTGCAAACAATAACGGTTTGATATAATTGCTTGTACTCCCTCGCAGCATGTCTCTCTATCTCTCTGTCCGTCTGCCTGCCTGCCTCCCAAGGGGGTTAGCTATGTTGGTTTAGTCTGCTTGTGTGTGTATTCTCCTCCCATTTCACAGGAATGTGTAATACTTGTTGCTTTGCTCCTTCTTTGGTCAAATTATATTCGATATTTGAGGGGATGTCAAGTTCGAAAACTCTCACTATGTTTCATGGTTATTTTATTTTTAATAACAGCTCTTGATACCATTTCTTATTAGTTACTGGTAGTTGGAAAAAACCTCTGTAATCCCACTGATACCAATGATTAATTTTAGAAAAGTAGGGACTGCAGCGGTATTCAATGAAATTTTTCATTGAAACTATCAATTATTAATTTCCCATGTCGAATTCGAAGTCGAACCTTATGTAATTAGATGTCTTATTTAATTTCGAAATATATATAAGTATAAGAGCAACTCTTGGTTATAACGTTGTGAAAACTTGATAGATTGCACTAATTTTGGGTTTTAACCAATAGGGGAGTTGTTTACCTTGTGCATTCACTTACACTACTCTCTCTCTCTATATATTAATTCATTTAGATATTTTATTCAATCGTAACTTTATCTTAAATATTCAATTCATATATACACAAGAAGCATTTAGCACAATTGCTATATATTAATATATATCTATATATATATCCCAATTATATATATATAACGTATATTATACATATACAGTTGACAAAAGTTTTAGCATTTAAAATCAGTACAAATAGAATATAAAGTCAAATAGGAATGGGTCGTGATTTGAAGAAGCAGTTATTATTCGAAACTGCTACCGAAGTAGCCAACAGAGTTGGTGGTATTTACTCAGTTTTAAAATCAAAAGTTCCTGTAACTGTAGCTGAATTCGGTGACAATTATACTTTACTTGGTCCATTGAATAAAGCTACTTACCAAACCGAAGTCGACCAATTCGACTGGATGGATGACAACAACTATCCTGATGATTTGAGATTTATTAAGTCTGTATTAATGAGAATGAGTGAACGTGGCGTACATTTCGTTTACGGTCGTTGGTTGGTCGAAGGCTCTCCTCGTGTGCTATTGTTCGACTTAGGCTCTGTATCTCATTTTTTGAATGAATGGAAGAAAGACCTTTGGGATTTAGTGGGTATTCCAACCCCAGAAAACGACAGCGAAACTAATGATGCAGTTTTGTTAGGTTACACCGTCACTTGGTTCTTAGGTGAATTGGCATTTATTGATCAAGAACATGTAATCATTGCACATTTCCATGAATGGTTGGCCGGTGTAGGTTTACCACTTTGTAGAAAGAGAAGAATCGATTTAGTCACCATCTTTACTACTCATGCGACTCTATTAGGTAGATATTTATGTGCAGCTGGTAATGTTGATTTCTATAATAATTTGGATAGATTTGATGTTGATCTAGAAGCTGGTAAGCGTGGTATTTACCACCGTTATTGTATCGAACGTGCTGCTGTCCACACCGCTGACGTTTTCACCACTGTCTCTCATATCACTGCTTTAGAGGCTGAATACTTATTGAAGAGAAAACCTGACGGTATCTTACCAAATGGTTTGAACGTTAAGAAATTCCAAGCTGTTCATGAATTCCAAAATTTACATGCTATGAGAAAGGAAAAAATCAATGATTTTGTCAGAGGCCATTTCCATGGTTGCTTCGATTTCGAATTAGATGACACTATTTATTTCTTTATTGCTGGTAGATATGAATATAAAAATAAGGGTGCTGATATGTTTATTGAGGCATTGGCAAGACTAAATTATAGATTGAAAGTGTCAGGTTCCAAGAAAACTGTTGTTGCCTTCATCATTATGCCAGCAAAAAATAAGTCTTTCACTGTGGAAGCTTTGAAAAGTCAAGCAGTTGTCCAATCATTAGAAAGTACTGTTAACGAAGTTACGAAATTAATTGGTCAAAGAATTTTTGACCATGCTATAAGATATCCTTCCAAGGGCTTTGCATCAGAATTGCCTACCAATTTAGACGATTTATTAAAACCATCTGATAAAGTTTTATTGAAGAGACGTACATTGAATTTGAGAAGACGAGAAGGTGAATTGCCACCAATCGTTACCCATAACATGATCGATGATGCCACTGATCCAATTTTGAATCAAATTAGAAGCGTCCAATTGTTCAACAATTCATCTGACAGAGTTAAAATTATTTTCCACCCTGAGTTTTTGAATGCAAACAATCCAATTTTAAGTTTAGATTATGAAGATTTCGTTCGTGGTTGTCATTTAGGTGTTTTCCCATCATACTATGAACCTTGGGGTTACACTCCTGCCGAATGTACTGTCATGGGTGTTCCATCAATTACCACCAACGTTTCAGGTTTTGGTGCATACATGGAAGATTTAATTGAAACTGACCAAGCTAAGGACTATGGTATTTACATCGTTGACCGTCGTTTCAAGAGTCCTGAAGAATCTGTTGAACAATTAGTTGATATGATGGAAGAGTTTGTTAAGAAGAATAGAAGACAAAGAATCAACCAAAGAAATAGAACTGAGAGATTATCTGACCTATTGGATTGGAAGAGAATGGGTCTTGAATACATGAAAGCACGTCATTTAGCATTACGCAGAGGTTACCCAGATGAGTATAAAGAACTAACAGGTGTTGAAGGTGACGACACTGACATGAACACATTGGTTATGGATAAAAAAGTTAAATTATCCAGACCATTAAGTGTTCCAGGATCCCCAAGAGACTCCTACGGTAGAGCAAACAGCATCAGTGCAGTTTATATGACCCCAGGTGATCTAGGTACCTTACAAGAAATCAATACTGCCGATGATTACTTCTTACTAGCTAAAGGCGAAGAAGAAGAAGAAGATGACGAAGATGATGAAAACGTTGACGAATAGTTTAATGATTAATTTACAATTAAAACGAGTAGGCAAATAATTGAAAAGAAGCAGTATATGATCATGTGGAGGTTGTTACACCCAATTATACTAATTCCTAATAACTCTGCATAAAAGTTTTGTATAATTTAATGTAATTCAATTTAATTCAATTTTAATATAATATAATATAACACAATAAAATCAAATCTAACCCAATCTTATCCAATCTAATCTAATCACCATCAAGAGTAGCCAATATATTTATATACAATTATTGCCAAGACTTTAAACTACTTTTTTTTTAAAGTTGAATAAGATGCCTTTGTAGTGTTCCAAATCAAACGGTTTTCTGTCTTGTTTCGGCCAATTTCTTGGATTAAATTCTACATTTCCCATCTATCCCAATAAAGAAACAATCCCACACTTCCATAATCATCATAATCAAAGTAACCAACATCAAAAAACTATCAAACACTTCCATCCATCTCTCTTTATATACTCGATCTTAATACATCTGTCATTCCACATTCTTCAGTAATTTTATATAGGGGGCAGTGAAAAAAAACTGACGACATATATAAAAATCTCCAAGCCGAGTTCCTCTAAGGAACTTTAAATCATTGGAATTTTAATTTCAAGAATCTTGGTTATTGAAGATTATAAAGGTATTGAAGGTCACTAAAGGTCACTACAGTAGGTTGCGTTTGTTATTCCTGAGTTGGGTTAAGTGCTTTTATTTTTTTGTAGGGTTTGATTCTTTATTTTTACGAAGTTGAAGCCAGATTTCAACACTGCTAATTTGGTAACTGCTGACAGACTTTAAAGAAAAAGATTTATAATAGTTTGCTATTCTGTTGAGATTATTGCTGGTTTAGAGGTTATACTTTTAGCTACCAGAATTTCAAAAACGTTAGAGAGAGGTAAAAAAAAATACATATAACAGGACTAGAAATGTCTGAACATCCGGAGGTTATTGGTCCAGACTCTGTTGAGGGTCATAAAATGACTAAGTTCTTTAATAAGATTAGTGGTCAACCAGCTTCATATGTTAACAAAACAGATTATGTTTTTGGTAAGACTTTAGGTGCAGGTTCATTTGGTGTTGTTAGACAAGCTAGAAGAATTTCTACTGGAGAGAATGTAGCTGTTAAGATTTTGTTGAAGAAAGCATTAAAGGGTAATTGTGTACAAATAGAAATGCTTTATGATGAATTATCTATTTTACAAAAATTACACCATCCTAATATCGTGGATTTTAAAGCTTGGTTCGAATCTAAGGATAAATTTTATATTGCTACTCAACTAGCCACTGGTGGTGAATTATTCGATAGAATTTTAGCAAGAGGTAAATTTACTGAAGTTGATGCAGTGAGGATAATAGTACAATTATTGCAAGGTATCAAATACATCCACTCTAAAGATATTGTTCATAGAGATTTGAAACCAGAAAATGTCTTGTATATAGACAAATCTGACGATTCTCCTTTGGTTATCGCAGATTTTGGTATTGCCAAGCAATTGAAAAGTGGTGACGATCTTATATTCAAGGCTGCCGGTTCTCTAGGATACGTCGCTCCTGAAGTGTTGACTGTAAATGGTCATGGTAAACCATGTGATATATGGTCCTTAGGTGTCATCACTTACACTTTACTATGTGGTTATTCTCCATTCATAGCAGAAAGTGTAGAAGGTTTCCTTGATGAATGTACCAGTGGTAAATACCCTGTCAAATTCCATAGACCTTATTGGGATACTATATCAGATGAAGCAAAAGAATTCATTTTAAGAGCTTTGATTTTGGAACCAAGTAAAAGGCCTACCGCTTCTGAATTATTAGAAGATCCATGGATTGCTACCAAATGTGCTCTACAAAATGATCTGTTACCTGATTTAAGACAAGGATTCGATGCTCGTAAGAAATTCCGTGAGGCTGTGGAAATTGTTAAATTGAATAATAGAATTAACAAATTGAGAAGCTTATACTGCTCAGAAGGCGAATCAGAAACTGATATTGAGGAAAATTCAACAAAAACTTTTATGGAATCGTTAACTGATTCTCTAAATGATTTAAAATTGAGGGCTGATAAAAGTTCACAGAATCCTAAGTTATCAGATGAAGAGAAAAAAGAATTGAAATCAACTTTGACTCAAAATGCCTTCGCCCAAATCGTCAGAGCTGCTACTAAGAACAAGGAAAAGATTTTAAACTATAATGAGGAAGATAATACTGATTAATTATAATAGATATTATTTGCCATTCATTGAATTTTATGATTTCGTTTTCTGTAACGGTAGCTTTCATTTCTATGTTACCCATCTCCAGTTTTATTTTAACATCCACCTGAGTTAATTATTAAATATTTTTCTTATTTTACTTAATTTGATTGTATCTATCTATTATTATATTCGCTATTATTAACAATAAAAAAATGTTATTAATACAATTTATTATGCATCAAGAAGTTATATACATACATGAAAATATCTATCTAAACATATGAATGTATACATATATACCCCATTTTAAGTCCCTTGATAGACTAGGTACGTGCCCTTTTTGATCTCCTCCCATATTCTTCAACATCATTATTTTCCTCTTCTTCAGATTCATTATCCAAATCACTGTCATTGTATGTGATATTACGTCTTTGAACCCTTCTTAAAGTCCTTTTTCCAGGCTTCATATCCGCATATTGAACTCTTAAAGTTTCAAAAGACTTCAAAATATAATAAAATCTAGATAAAAAATCTTGCATCATCTTAAGTTTCAATCTCGATGCATTGAATCTATATTCCTTTGGAAGAGGTTTTTTATTGATTGTTGGGTCTGTGACTTCAATTTCCATCGACTCATTCGGATCGAGAGAGTCATTTCCTTCTTCTTCCAGTAGCTTTGCATCATCATGAGTACCTGATATCGAAGTTTCTCCTTCTTCCTTCTTCTTCTTTGATCCTTTTTCCTTAGGGGGTGTTATTTTGTAATCCAAATATGAAATAAAATATAATAATGATTCAGCGTCACTACACATCTCATACCAATATACTTTACCTTTAGATTTAATACCCTTTGCTACATCGTGTATCATAGATGGCGTGTCATGATAAAGTAATTTAAAACTAGGGCTCATTAACTGGCCGTAATTTTCAAATAAGTATTGAACATCTGCTTCACCGCTTGAATACTTATTTAAGATATCTTCTAATGCTCTTAAATCTGTATAAGTTGAGACTGTTACTGGTGAATCGGAGTAGGTATGCAATCTTGGCATATAAAAATCACCAATATGCGGAATTCTTCCAATAAAAAATTCATGTGAACGTAACTTATACAGCTCATCTTCAAAAGGGTTACTTAATGGATTATCAGGCAATTCACCTTCAAATAATTTTGTCCAATCATTATAATTTTCTATCATTGATTTTTCCTTTTCCTGCTTATTTAATGAGTTCAATTGATCCTTTAATTCCTTCAATAGTTTCATCTTAGCTGAAAAATCCTCCTTCTTCCCTTCAGCCAATAGTTTCTTAATGTATTTCTTTTTGCTTCTAACCTCAAGTCTCTTTTGCACCATTTCACATAGTTTAATGTACTTAGCATATGTGACATTTGGACCCTCAACAAAATATCTTGGAACATGTTGAGTCTGGATACCAAAAGTCGGGTCCTTCTTAAAATGAGATAGATAATGTATTTCGTTATGAACTTTGATTGAGTACGAGGAACACCAATTTATCAAAGATCGCAATAATATAACTCTATCATCAGGTGCTAATGCAAGAATTCCAATCTTATCCAAATCTGAATTTTGTAAAGGATCCGACTCGTTAGTCAAAGGTAAGTTCTTATGCCATTCAAAAATGTTTTCTGTTAAAATTTCGGGAATTTTAGGATCAACGTAGTCGCTTTTATCATTTTCTTTAAACATTTGAGATTTTGGTTTTGATAAATCAATTTTATCAAGTGGGAGTGACCTCCATTCACTAGGGTACCCCCATTCTTTTGCATTTTCTCTGACATTCAGAAGATATTTGGAATAAAGTTTTTTGGAAGAAGTCAATTCATCAATGGATGCTAATGGTTTATGCTCTCTGCTTTTTGCAGATTCCTTATTTACTAACAATCTTAACAAAGTCAAAAATAGTAAATTCATTTTGTCTTGACATGAAATCACTTCCTTTACTGGAATATAATCCTGATATAATGACCCCTTATTCATTGTATCCAAACCAACTTCTTGTGGGATAACTGGGTACAAATCAAGACCGATTTCAAAATCTATAAAAGACAGATTTAACAAATCCATATCGAAGAAGATATAGAATTTGTTTATGAATGACATAAATTTCATGATATCACCAGCATAAGGCAATGTTCTCATATTAGGATTCTTTAACCTGGAAATGATACTTTGTTGGGTTTTATACGCAGTAGATAATAATGGCATATTAGGGGACCAATTATCGTTTGTCAAAGGCGGTTCTTGTTCCGCCTGTTCTTGAGCTTTTGTCAAAGTTGTGGTAGCCGAGGAAGATTTTGCTTTAAGAGCATTTGCCTTTAGAACATTTGCCTTCTTTTGATTTATTAACTTTTCCTTTTCTTTCTCTTTCTCCCTTAACTTCTTCTTTCTCAGCCTTTCTTTCTCCTTTTCCTTCTTCAAAGCTACCATTTTTTTCTCCTTTTCTAAAGCTTTAGCTTTAGCTTTTGCCTCAGCTTTAGCCTTTGCAAATGCCAACTTCCTCCTTTCCGATTTAGCTCTAGCAGCTGCCTCTTCAGCTTCTTCAGCTTCCTTTTCTAACTTGGACTTCGTCACAGGAACACGTTTAGATCTTCTTAATCCAAAAGAACTCAAATCAGAAACAGCAGATATTGATTCCTTTGAGACATCTTCAATTGATTCATTGAGCTTTGCAGGGTGATGAGCTGAATCAATCTCCTGATTATTAACTGTCGAACCCTCAGTTAAGCCCGGCTTAGCTCCCCCACTTTTCAATTCTAATTCCATAGCTGATATATCACTCCTGGGGACGTCTATGATAGCACTAATGAGTTTTATAGAATCACAATATCAAAAGTTAGTAATCTTTTAAACTTATATTCTCATCAAGCTCGTTTTAATTAATTTTAGATATCTGGTAAAGAGACGCGACTATTAGATATCACACGTCGTAAGTAATGATATATATTACAAGACTTATTCAAATGGTAGTGACATAGTCGATGAGATGGCTGTCACAACAACCTTTAGCAGGATATTAAATTTCTAAAATAACTGAACTGAGTTTAATGATTGGGAATCGATTTGATGTTTTTCTAGGTTCATCTAATTACTGACGTTTTCATAATTTCATTATAACACATTTTTGTTGTAGATATTAGGAATCGATTGATTATTTTATATCATGCTGCTTACGAAAAAATGTTGAGACTGGCTTACACTGTCATCAACTATTATTTTTAGCTTGAAGACTAGGATTTAAAGGGTCTTTAAAACAGTATTTAAAAAATATCTCCCGGGGGCGAGTCGAACGCCCGATCTCAAGATAACTTTGTTTGAAACATTACAGTCTTGCGCCTTAAACCAACTTGGCTACCGAGAGTAGTTACTTGTTGTCGTCGAAAAATATTATTTTCCAAAGTTTGAAGAATAGTATAATTTTTTTTTTCTATTAAAACACAAATTTGATTTTGTCAAGATATATAGTTCTTTTAAGTATCATGACGAGTAGTGTAGAGAATTATGTTGTGGTTTTTCTACCGAATCGTTCTGCTGACATTGGTCATGTGACGTTTCTTATAAAGCCATATTATCATGTCTCACGAGTGTCTGTCCGAAGTGAAAATTCTTCAAGGCATCTTGAAGTATAAAAGAACCTTATGTAACGTCATATATTAAGTAACTATGTATCAGAATAAAGAAATGATCCATATCGGAGACATCATCTGCGGTGTCAGTGTTGAAATTGTTGATCATTTTTAATAGGTGACATATTTCTTAAATTATATTTCTCCGTGAGGATTTTATATATAATATAAAATAATAATATAAATATGTAAAGGTAATCTTGGAAATCAGATTATCCTAATCTTGAGATTAGTGTCCGTATTTATACGTTTAATCTTCGATCTCACAATCTTGTAATTACTAATCATTAATTCTAACAATTCCTTGCACTCTCACTCAAGTATTTTAGTTTATTGGTAATTTACCAATAATATTCTTTTTATTTTGTTTCTAGAATGTTCTACAATATTGCAAACAATCAATAACCTGATTGTTAGTAATTACCTGATTAGTTATTGTATACCATATTAATAGATTGATTTATGTTACATTATCATAGATATATCTATGACGTCATGAACATCTTATAAAGTAGTCACGTGTGAGTGGAAATAAGGAACATTCTGGAACCTTCTAGGTCAGAACAATCCAGTTATCTAGTAAACCAGTGACAATGACAGTTGAGACCAATCCTACAATCCAGTAGTATATAAAGTCTGATAAGATCTTAATTGACACTTA